ACACTCCAGCTTCAAAACAAGTCATTAGTCTTCAATTTCCATCTAGCCAATTGTATGATATGAATATCCAAAATAGGCATCATGAATTGTTTTTACACTGAAACAACATATTAGGTCGACCTGATCCTATATGAGGTCGACCGAATCCTAAATGAGGTCGACCAGATCCTATATGAGGTCGACCGAATTCTAAATGAGCTCGACCTAATCCTAACTGAGGTCGACCGGAAAGTGCAAGTCATCGTGACATGCATGTCATCGTAGGCACACCCTAATATTTTTTTATAAGAAGTAGATAAATAATTGAGATGAAATTGGATCCGACAATACTTTTTATAAATCTAGATGTTCGGTCTCGTTTCACAAAATTGGAAATGAAAAATCTTAAAACATTGAATATAACTTATAGTAAGAGCTTCTTCAACCAAGTAAGAAGGGCATTTTACCTGAAATTATTATATCTTATAGAAGTGATTAATTGTGAAATCGGAACTCAAGTAACATTTATTCAAACATTAAATATTAAATTGTATGTGTGGTACAGTTTAGATAAAATACATGTGTGTAGCCAAAACATGGGTCTTCGTGACATATATAGTAACTTTTTGTGACAAATTTACACATAAAATAAAGATAAATTTGGCACTATGACGAAAAAAGAGGTTCGTAGAATCACTCTCAGACCACGAAATTTAAAAGAGGAATCTCATTTTCCAATTTTATCATTATATTATGTATAGATTTGTCACAAAAAAATGCTATACTCGTTACAACGGTCCATGTTTTGGTTACACTTCTGTAGTTTGTCTAAACTAAACTAAACTACACATACAATTTAATATTAATTTTTGAATCAATACTACTTGAGTTCCGATTTCAGAACTAATCTCATTCTATAAAATATAAATAACTTAAAGATAAAATATAAATATAGAAGCATCATCACCAAACATATTCTTAGAGTTTAATCAAAGAAATAACAATAAATATAATGTAGCCTAGTTGGTTATATGCTCTTTCTTTATTTAATTGATCCAGGTTCAAACTCCAATGATAACATTTTTAATATATAAAGATAAAGTGGGCGCAATGACAAAAATGACATTCCTACAATCACTCTCAACCACCAAATTTGAAATGGGAGAATTCCAACCCATGTTTCGCCTTTATATATCTTGTAGATGAATGCAGTTTCCCTTCAAAAAAAAATTATGAAATAAGTCGTTAACGTAAACTAAGATCATCCCACCTTAATGACTAATTTTCTTGATGCTTCTTTTTCATTTTCTACATAACCTCCGGTCAACCGATTTCTTCGTGGGAATTTCATTACTTGCGATTGGATTCTTGGAATGACAACTCTATCCAGGTCTCCGCTTCAAATTTGGTGGGTTCCAGCTCTAAACAACAACGTCGGAGGAGGATACCTTTCAATCCGTTGCAATCGCTAGAAAGCAGCAAAGTTTCTCTTCACGCGCTCGTCCAGGTATCGCCGGTCGCCCTAATCTCCCCTTCTGTCGCTCCGTCTGAGGAAATCTGGTTCCCTTTTCGTCGGCTATTTCAGGTTCATTCTCCAACTTCCTATTGCTTTTGCTGTTGGAAGGGGAATCTGCTCTAATTTCTCTTTTTTGTTCTCGGCTTCGGTTGTTGCCTTGTTGGTGATTTTGGTTCTTTCTCCGATTATTTTTTGCCGATATTGAGATGAGCTTTGTGGTAATACTTTTCGATTGGGTTTGTGGTTGTCTGATATCCTTAAGATTTAATAGTTTTCTCATTCAAATTTTGTAGGTCTGGCTATGCATGCTATGTTTGTGGATTAGTTGTTACTTTAGCTCAACAATGTAGGTTTTGGATTTCAGGCGACGACAAGTCTAGTTTCGTCAATTTCGTCGTAGCCGATTCTCATGTCCGGGAACTTCAATTCAAACCCTCCCTTTGCGTTTGAGTTCAGTTTTGGTTTAGCTCTGTAGTTTGATTTGGAATTAGGGTTGCGATGTAGGTTTAATAATGGAATAGTGTCGAACACATTGATAGGATTCATTGTTCTGTGTCAGAGCAGAAATTGAAGTGTTGGTTCTTGTAGTTCCCAATTTCTTTGTTTGATGTAGCAGTATATAAGTTTGGTTTCAATATTGATATTGGATTTTAGGAATCAATTTGTTAAATTATGTTGGTGGAAGTTCATTACCATTATGTAGCTGCAATCTGTACATTTAACTCAGCATCAGTTCTATAGTTCATGGACTTGGTTAGTTAGTTTCTTTGCGGTAATGCATGGTCTCATAATCATGGGTATCTGTGGTTAATCTTATAGGTTGTATTTTGATAAATTTTTTCGGTTGCTTTTGTTTACGATTGCCATTTCAAGCATCATCAATTTGTTTTTCTTTAGAATGGTTTTATGTAGTTGGTTTCCATTAAACATAAAAAAACTCTCTTCTTATTAGTGTTTATAGGGAATGGCTGGATCATATCACTTTTACAATGATTTAAATCATATAGAATGGCTGGAACATATCTCTTTTACCAAGATTTAAGATGATCATCTCTGATGTCTCATTTTATGTTTTATGTTTCATAGGAAATGGTTATTGAACTACATAGAACCATAGGGAATGGCTGGAACATATCTTTTTTAGCAAGATTTAAGATGATCATCTCTTATTAATTTATTGGTGAAGTTAAAAAGTGCGGTAAGAGATTAACTTTTAAACAAACAGCTTCCAACTGGCATAAGCATAATTTCAATGTCTGTTTTTCATCCAAAGAGTTAATTAAATGTGTGTGTACCAAACTATAGTGATCGTTTTCGATTGGGTTGGGTAGTGGTAATACTTTTCGACTGGGTTGGGTTGTTTGACCTTAACAAAGTTGCTATCTTTTTTTGGGTTTTCTAGATTTAATTTGTATTCTTCTGATGAAGAAGATAGGTTTTTTGCCATACTAAGCTGCCCTCTGATCCAAAAGTCTTGCAAGTCATAATTATTGCTAAACTAAGGCTTAACGTAGCACATATTCCTGCGGATTGGGGGTTTTGGAATGAGACCAGAAGTTGAAATTGGGTTTATGAAAGGACAGGCTGCGGGAAGAATACTCCTCGAGTTTTCCAGCAAAGGCCATGTTCATGGTTTTTGGGTGGATTTTTTTAGTTTCTTGAAGCATTAGTAGTAATTAAAGTAAAACATTTACCCACCTCTCCCATGTGACTATCCCATATACATTCTATTTTCTAAGAATTCACAAGAGTTTATAATAAGTATGTCTGGGTAGCAGCTATCTCCGCTTGTCTGGTAGAGTTCACAACAAGTAGTTGGGTAGCAGCTATTTGTGGTGGTGGTGGTGGTGATGGACTTGGATAGATACTAATAATTTGAACAAAAAAAAAAGATATAACGAACAAAACCTAGTTATCATGTAATTCTGCTATATATGCACAACCAAAAGCAAGATAAAAAGAATTGAAGGAAGAAATAGATTAAATAATTGAGAGGAGGAAGGGAGATGAGGCAAAGTACCGCTAAAACAGTGTTACAGAAGTTGCAGTGAACATAACACACTCTCTTGGTCGTCCTTACTCCAAGAACCTCCTCCATCCCTTCCTTCCCTTCCTGCTGATACATTTGCTGCTCTTAGTGTGATAGCATACAAGTTCTAACCTTAGTTTTTTGCTTCACATTTTGTGTGTTACAGAGAAAACAGAACTTAATTTTCAATTGATTTTCACTGTTGACCTTAGTGTTTGGAGACTTCTAATTGACTTGCTTTTGTTCATGTTATTTATTTTTGTATGCAGGTCTTGTATAGAAATGCTGCACCTGACCTTAGTGTCCACATTATAGTGTACTAAGAGTGGTGACCACACCCAACCATGTTATTTATTTTTGTATGCAGGTCCTATATAGAAATGTTACAATCTTCTGCATTTGGTTGTTTGCTTTGTACTTTGAAGGATTATCTTTTGTTCTGTCATGAATCTATGTCTAAGTTCTATAGTAGTTGAATGCATGTTAGAGTTTAACTAAACAACCAAAATCAATTGGTCTTAGTAGGATATAAACTTACCATCTTTACGTTTTTTTTAGTTGGTCGAACATGAGAAATATAGTTGGCTTACCTCAATTTTATGTTTATATACTCATAGGATGAGATGCCTTACCTCAATTTTTTCCTCATTGATACAAAGTCTCTTGAGTGATCACTCACTATTATGTCGAATTGAAACTCCGAGATATACCAGATTAAGTTCACTAAACGAACATCAAATCACTAATTTACCAGCAAAATAAATGAAAATCCTTTATGTAAATTTTCCCTTTTGGTTTCATTTACAGCCCTCCAGTTTACTTTCATTCTCATTCACTTCCTTTATTGTTATCTCATACAGGTTGTTTCTCTATAGCATCGTGAATTATGTTATCCAAAGCTTAAGATGAGATACTTATCATCCTAATTCATAATGTAAATGATAATGTTTCCAAGGGTTTTTGTGTAGACAACTCTCCCGGTGTTCAAGTATCATCTCTGTTATTTGTTCGGACTTCCTTAATTTCTTGTTGTATAAGTCTCTTGCTGGTCTTTTGAGGAATATTTCTTCGACATTGTCCAACAACAAAACCTCTGTATTTGCTGTGTCATCTTCAACCAACAACTTGATGTGGTACCTGTATTCAATTTTGGCAATGTGTTATTTTTTGTTTTTTAGTTTTGTTATATGATCGACATGGTTGGTTGTTTTCCTTTACCTTCTCGTTGCCAACGATGAAGTGGAGTCACAGTTGCTGCAGTAGAATGATGTTGTTGTTTGGTTCTGTTTCGTAACCTCTTCCACCTTTCGAGGACAGTCCCAGCAGCCTATGTAACTCCAGTTTTCTCTAATGGCAATTATCCTGCACTTCACATAATAGCTCTTGTTCTTGAAAAAATCACATTATGGTTATTTTATTTTTTTGTTTTTGTATTCTTGAGTATGATATATAATTTATGTTGTTGCTTTCTTCTTGCTTATGCCTTTGCAACTAACTCTATTATTGTCGCTTGTTAGATCTCTGGTGGGGTAGGTTGTTCTCTCATAACTGGTGCTTGGTTATTGATAGCATCTTGGTTATTCGATCTTCATCTCTCTTCCCGCAAAACCCTTCTTCCTCGTCTCCAGGAAACCCCTCTTCTCCTTCTCCCTTCACATAATCCCCGCCATTAAAATGTCAACTTTCACCAACAATCCTTCCGAGCTTTCCCCTTCAACTACCCTCCAAAACTACCCTAAACCCTTATCCCCACCTCTTCCTGCCATCTCCAAGGAGATAGAGCTCGCCAGAGCTATGTCCGCCTCTTCAAGATCCAGCCTTTTCTCCTTGTCAGCGTTTGAAGTCTTGTTTGAAGATCAATGGCTGATGGCCGTCAATAAACCTCAAGGAATTTACTACGAGGTCGTGTTGACATCCGTCCCAGTCCTTCTCCTTTCCTGCTCAAAAACCGCCCCAATTGGTAATCATTGTTTGTCCTCTCCTATACAAATTAAATTTCCGAAATTTGAGTTCAAGCGCCCCAAAACTGGATTTATGTGTTGCAGATAATACAAAGGGATCGCCGGGGCTCCACTTGCCAAATCGTCTCGATCGGGACACGAGCGGAGTGATGATCATCACCAAGTCGCACAAGGTAGCCGCTAAGCTATTCAAGGCATTTACTGATCACAAGGTGACGAAGACTTACATTGCTTCATGCGTTTGTCCATCTCCAGATTGGAAAAGGATTACAGTTAAATCAGGCCACGGTCGGTCCAAATTTGGGGCGTGGCGTGTCTATGCAGCATCAGATGCGGGGCGAATCTTGCCAGGTGGGTCTTCGGTTAGGGAAATGGAGACTTCATTTGAGGTGTTGTCTATTAATGGGAAGAGAAGAAGCTTAGGAGAATCATTAGAGGAAGTATGTGGGGAAACTATAGTTGTTAAGGAGAAATCGGTGAAATGTGCTAATAATGGTGGTGGTGGTGGTGGTGAAATGCAGGATGCGGTTTTGATTAGGGTGTTTCCTAGGAGTGGAAGGACTCATCAAATTTGCTTGCATTGCCAGTTTATCGGGTTGTCGATAAAGGGTGATGTGAAGTATGAAGGAGTTCATGAGTGGGATGGGGAAGTATGTAGTGGCCATGAATTACATGCAGAGAGCCTGTCTTTTGACCATCCTATAATTGGTCTTCCCATGAAGGTTCATGCGCCTCTGCCTTCATGGGCGACTCATTTATTGCCTGAATCATAGGATTAGTTGCAATGGACAACTGGCTTGGGGGTGTTAGATGCATATGTTGCTCAATCTTCAAGACATGGGAGCTGGTAATGTTGAAATCTTCAAGGAAACAGGAGAATGGTTCATTTTGTTTCTCGTTGAGAAAGCCATAGCCTTTTGGCTTCAGGCGGGAGTTTGCTTTATTATGATGAGAGCTTGTCTTTTGAGCATCTTGTTACTAGTCTTCCCATGAAACTTCATGCGGCTTTGCCTTCATACTGTTGCCTGAATAGTTCTATGTGGCCTTCTGAAGTTCAGCGGGATGCACAAATGGGCTATCGGTGGTTGATGCTTATCGGTTAACTACATATGTGCTTGTAAAGTTGGAATCTTGAAGGAATTAGCACGACTGTTCATGTTGTGGCTTGTTGAGGAAGCCATAGCCTTTTGGCTTCACCCTGGAGTTAGGTTAACTAATAATATAACTCTGGCGAATTCTTGATCCCTAACCTGTTTTCTTATCTTATGAAGTCCTAAAGTTGTTGCTATTGCCATCTACCCATATAGAAGGAAGGAGAGAAGTATGGACAAGACATATTGAAGAAATCAAATGCTTGCTCTCAACAAGATTTGAAGCTTTTACAGGAATTCTGGTATTGTTGGTCAATGTTTTAACTTCCTCTCCCTGAAATATGCATCTTACCATCCCTGCAAGTTTTAGGATCCAGGTGTACTTGTTTTGAACACCAAGATCATCTGTATGTACGCATCTGTGGCCTGTGAAGTGCAGGCTACAGAAGTGCCTACGTTATATTGGGATTCTGATGATTTCAACTATAAATCGCTTTCAAACAGTTTGCATGCCAATATTCTATTTAGACCAACTATGAGCTATTTGTTTGAATATGGTTTTGACATGGTTTAGTGATAGACCATTGATTGCACATGTTTTTACCCCTATTCTTGAGCTGTTTGAGATGTTGATTCTCGTGTTTTAAGCCGATTTCACGCTAGGTTGTGCGTTTATGTCATATTTCAGGACTTAGCGTTGGCATCGAGGCGAAGAAATGAGTTTCGGGTCGAAAGGAGCATGTTTGGGTTGAAGTGTGCTGGAGGAGCAAAATACCCGACCATGAGCATAAATACCCGGCAGGGTATTATTTGGAGCAGACCGGGGAATTTGTGTTTCGGGCGTCTAAGAAGCAGAAGGGGGCCCGGGCAGTAATAAAAAATCCCCGGTCAGGTATTCTTGACCCTGACCGGGGATTAACCCCTGTTCCCCGACGGTGCATTTTGATAATACCCGGTCTCCACCTAAAATACCCGACCGGGTATTCAGGCCGGGGATCGCGACAGTCAGCCTCTTAAGGGAAAAGAAGGGCAAAAGAGAAGGGGTTCCGAGTTTTAGAGAGAAAAAGCGATACCTAGAGAGAGAAAGTGACGAACCTGATTCTGCAAGTGTCCTTGATCGATCTCCATCACCATTGGGCCCGGCTTGAGCTTGGAGAAGAGCTGATTGAGTGCCAGAAGCAGATTATCATCCTTCACATTATGGTTTCCGCATCTGAGCTAGATTTCCCATCTCTCTCTATGGAGTAACTTTCTTATTCACCTAGGTATGAAGAACCCTAGATTTGTATGTTAGGTCTGATTGTATGAACCCAAGTACAGATTCAGTGGTATGATTATGTTCAATTGAGGTTTGATTTGTTGAATGGCATGAATCCTGATCAAATTCCTCTTGTTTCTAATTTAACCTAGAAAGAGAATATCTGCCTAGGTTGATAGAGCACCCTTGATTGAAGGTAGTGAATTGGCGACTTTAGTCGAGGAGTCAATTCACTATTCTGTACCGAATTTACTTCGGTAGTGGAGGTTTGGTTCGTTAGGGTCTCAATCTGTCTACTCCGGTGGAGGTTAGTCGCCCGCTGGAGACTCAGATTGAGAGGGTCTAGAGACCTTTAGTCGAGACTACAGACTGTTTAAGAACCTCCCGCAGTATAACTATCATTGAAATTGAACTTGGTAAATTACAATCCGGCTTAAATGCAGTCTAGGGGGAACCATATCCGGGTGACCTCTCTCGACTTGAAACAACCTTTTAACTGCTTTGCTTGTTTGCTTGTTTGGATCTTCACTAAAGTTTCACTGCTAAATAATAAGAACTCACGGAGTAGTCATCACACTTAGGACCCGGGTTGACATTAAAACCCAAACCCGCTATACTACGCTTTAAGAGGTGGTTACACTTGGCCATTTTCTAGAGTGACGGTAGACGCTAGTCATTTAGAGTTCTTTTATGAGCTAGTGTCAACAATCGCATTAAACATAACAGTAAAAAATACATATAGACTTATCAGACAACGATTGGAGTTCTTTTGAAATAAATAGGTTTCTAAATAGACCGATGTTTTTGAACGTCATTAACGATATACTTCGAGACTGGCTCAATGCAAGTGAAAATGCCTACCAGGTTTGTGACCAAAAGTCCAAACGGCTTTAGCAGCTATAGGCATAGGGGACACCATTGGAGCCTTTTTAAAGTTGTTTCTTCTTTTTGAAGGGTAGAGTTCTGTCTCTGCATTATTCTTGCAGACTGAAGAGGAACTTCTAATCCAAGTAATCGAGCCCATATCATCCATCAGCAAGTGGTGCATTTATAATTAGGGTTAAGCAAATTAAGTGTCAGTCTGTAACTTGAAACTAAATGGAAAGAGTTTATCCGGTTGGCCAAACCCACCAGAAATGTAAAGCATATCTCATTCTGCATTTTATTACCTTCTATATTCAATATTTTCCTCCTGTAGAGATAAATCCAAATTGCAATGGGTTCCTTATACGAATTAATCTTGATATATATATGTGAGTTTGTCCCTTATTTACAATTAGTTGAGCTTTATTATTTTCCCTCCATGAAAAAAGATTCCTTTTCAGCCTCATGCCCTCAGTGTGTTTGTAGACAAGTTTACCAAGCTAATCTATGGCCATAGCATCTTGGTAATTCTCAAACCTGTACCTTGGGCTACCTGTATGCGAAGAGCTTAGAATGACATGCTACCCTGTGGTTTCGGTACTAATATATCCTTGAAAAAATGCATCCATCAAACCATTCAAGTAGCTTGTCCTCAGTTTGCGTTGGTTATGCCTAATCCAATCCAAACGCTCAACTTCCACTAAAGCATAGGCATTGACCACATACTGGTGGAATAGTTTTTCAGATAATAATAATGTGTGCCTTTATGAAGCCTTGTTTGAATCCTATATGCATAAAAATCACACTGAGTTAGAAACTTTCCGTTTGCATCCTCGAATCCTTCTTCACCACATAAATAAATATCTTTGCGCCAACCATCTTCTCCATAAGGGAAGAGCAATGGATACTGCAATGCCATTAAGCTAGGATGGTAGATACTAATTCTTTGAAGCTCAGTGGTCTGGTGCTCAACAATAATATCTTGTTCATAAGATGTTTGGCCGGGATCGTTCACAATAAGAGCTGCAACTTCATTTCCTGTAGGAAGATCATATTCCCAACCATCTGTTCGCCGATTGGCAATAAGTTTAACCTTCAAATGTTGTACACTATCATCATTGATCCTGTCTTTTGCATACCGGAATGTTTGGACCAAAATATTGTGCTCGTCGAACAATTCCTGCAAAGAGGCCATAATATCTCTGCGCAGAGATGTGGAATTGTTATTTGTACCAATTTCTTGGAGACGATTCTCAGCTTCTGTCTCGGTTTGATGAATGTACAATTGAGCAAACTTCTCAGTGGATCCTACTGGGGGTAACAAACTGCCAATTTGATGATAAATTTGGCCTCCAATAGAAAATACATAGACGCCACGTCCATTATTCAAAGCGTGATCAATCTTTCCACCCATTGAGCTAAAGCAGAAGACACCATTATACATCCTGATACAGTCACGAAAGTGCTTGCCAACTTCACTGCTTGACTGCAATAGATCTCTTAAGAATTCAGGAGGTTCTCGAGCCGGAGGAAGTTTTACTTTGCCTTTTTTGCAACAAAGAGCAAATTTTGAAGACCCTGACTTTCGAGGCCGAGATGTACTTTCTTATTTACACATAACAGCTGCGCAGTATTGGCATACATTCGAAGGAGGGCCAAGAGAAAAGAAGTCGACATGCTTCGAACCTATGTACGTAAAAGATAACGTTAATTAGAAACAAAATATATCTTTAATTGTATATCATACGCATATTCAATACGTATCAAAAATATACCTTTCTCAATTGTGGTAGGAAATGTCTTTTTTTTCTTTTTGACAGCAATCAGTTTTATCTTTCTATTCATGCGTTCAGCTTTAGCATTGAGCTTAGAAAGTGAATAGTTGCAACCTGTAATATTTATTGTAAATTAGTTTTTTGAAATCGTAAGAAAACCATATTACATGCTAGTCAAAAATTAAGACAACTTTAGTTACCTATTAAGTACTGGAATGCTAGTACATCCATCCTTTTTGAACATAGCATGATCCGTCGTTTCATTCTTGCTATTTTGGCAATTAAGGTCTTGGTTGACCTTGATTGTGCCAAGAAATAAGTTTTTGCTACATACACATCAGGAGCAGTTAGACTACAGAAAGGATACCCATAAAAATGTTAATTAATTGGTATAGAGAAAAAGAAACTACCGCGATAGAAATCCCACGAACATCGCGCAATATCAATTGTCCGTGCAATTTTGTAGGTGCGAGGAACTATATTGTCATCCACGTCATCAATCTTTCGCTTACCCATGCAATCTAACTTGGAATGTTGTAGTGAAACTAACTACAAATATTAGTATTGGAATTGTGAAAGCGGCAAATTTCAATATGAATCAATTGGAATTCAATTAGACCAAAATTAACATTCCGTAAACGAAAATAACCGTGAGAATTGGAACAACTACAATATGAGATTCAATTATCCCAAAATCAATACTACATAAACAAAAAATATCATTACAAAATATATTAATTGAAAAAGGCACGACATAGAAATCCAGGGGCGCTCTAGGAACATACCAGCCAGTCTATTGTTGCTACATAAGCTATGAAAATGGAAACCACGAAATTCAGGATCGAAAAATACATAATTAAGACCACATGCTCGTCTCCGCACTGTAACTCGACGGATATCAGCCATATTCAGCTCATCAAACTCTAGCTGCCGCCGAGTAATTAAGCCGGTGAAATATTTTGAAAAAAGAAACAATAGAAAAAAAGGACTACACAATAGAGTAGTGGATTAGCTCGATTGACCGTTGCGCTGCGCTACCGATGGCGAGATTGAATGATTTATTAAAAAAGAAAAGTGAAAGGACCAATCGATTACTTACGAGCTTCGGCCGACGGTGGTCTATCGGGGATTATGAGCTCTCTACGTCTGGATTCCTGCTTGCGGCCAAGAAGAATAGAGAGAGGGGAAAATATTATAGTTGGGATGAAAAGATGGATGGATGATGATCTCTCTTTCTTTCTTTTTCTTTT